AAGTACTTACTCTTAAAAAAAAAGTTTAATATCTAAACTATTACTATATAATCAACTTTGATATGTGGTTTCAGAAATGAACATTCTGGCCTCAACTATGCAACATATAGATTCAATTGGCCCGACACATGGTTTGTGCTGAAAATGATAAATAATAGAAATTAGCAAAATAAGTGAATTTGAATTTTTTTAATAATTTTTAGGCTGATGAGGCAATGGCACGACGTGTTGACTAACGGTCAAACCACGTGTCGTGCCAATTGAGTCTATATGTTGCATAGTTGAGGCCATGATGTCAATTTCTGAAACCATAGACTAAAGTTGATTGTATAATAATAATTCGAACCAAAATAAGGTATTAACCCTAAAAAAACCATGGTTCATCCTAATCCCAATGAATCATTTCACTTGATTAATTAGTACTCGATTGGAATTGGTAGCATTACTTCAACATAACTTCATCAAATACATGGATACATATAGTTTGGCTTGTTTGTGAAGCAATTTATCAATCAATTATTCGTACAAGATAGATGCATTAAATTAAAATTGTTAGCGAAGCAAGGCATATTTTGGGCACTTCACGTAAATAATGGTTGGGAGAAAATGAAAATCAGAAGGAATCAACTATCAAGTGTACTATTAGAAATGTAGAATAAAAATTTACGTGTTTTATTTCGATATAGTTTAGTCCCAAATTCTTAGTGTTTAATCATTAACAATAAGAACTCCAAGGGTGTAGGATAATTACGACACGAACAAAATTGAATTTTGTTCTTAATCGCTAAAGATTAAGGAAAATTATATGTGTCTGTAATATTTTCAACAGATAGGTCTTCCGCTCGACGGTTGGTAAGAGGAAGGGTAAAAAAAATGGGAAGTTTGTAACTTTCAAGTACAAAATTACGGTACGTCGACGACACATCAATTCCATTTTCATCATGTAACCAATTTCGATTGCTTTGGTAATAGGATTGGTGAAATACGAGTTAAGACGTAAGATCAAGATTATGTTGATTTGATTTATTTTCAATAGAAAATTTTCTTGTTGGAATTCATTCTGAAAACGAATATGAACAAAAAAAAAATCCTATTGTTGCCAACCAGTTTGTAACGGCTAGAGGTGAATCTGATTCGATATCAAGTTATTTCAGAAGTCAAAACCGGTTAGTCCCCTTGATAGGGTATCCTGCAGCAACTAATTTTCATTGTGCAAATTAGGGTTTCTCTGTTCTCTTTCTTTCTTGTAAGATGACGAATTCTTGATTGAACTTGATGAATGGAAACATGAAGTGCAAAATCCAAAGCTCTCCAAATGAGGCACATAAATTTCTGACTCAATGTTTATAGCTAGAGTACAGATTCTGTTGTATTTTAACCAGTTAATCCTATATATTTAAGTACACATGGTAATAGTAAATTGTAGGGGAAACAGTAACAGTAATTAATACTAATTACTAATTGTCAGGTAACAAAACACTTACACAACAAGTTCCAATGAGAAAGGTTCAAGAAACTAGACAATTTATGAATGATATATATATATATATATGAGCATCTGTTTTGCTACAATGTTATTCAAAACGTCTAGTTGGGTGCTTAAGTGCAGAACATTTTTTTTATGATGGTGTTGATTTAAGAGAGCTAATTACGTTACTAAAGATTTCAAATGGAATTTTTATTAGTAAGTAAGTAATTAACACAAATTACGGCCAGAGTCTTGCTCATTTCTGATCATCAAGATGTTATTGTTAGCCTTCCATTTCGTTTATCATTGTTACTATTGTGATTTTGACCACTTTCATGTATGGCGAGTGTTAAAAGCTTGGAATGAAATCAATGGTGAACTTATTGGGGGCATTGATGAGGGAGAGTCTCTTGCCTTGTGGGATAGAGGGTAAAAAAGAATAAGAAAGAGAGGTAAATAGTCAAACCCTAAAACCCTTAAATGTGCAACTTCTTCTCCCAAAGAAAAAAAACCCCTAATTCGAGAGTTGTGCACAACAAAGATTGATCGAATTAGAAAATTAAAAAGATTCTGGAAAATCTTTACCCCCTTCACCTCCCCTCCTCTTTCTCGTGTGCGGTGTTGTCAAGCAGTCGTCGTGTCGGTCGGTTGGACCAGATCCGACCACGATCCATATTGAAAATGATCGTCATAAAGTCGTTTTCTCTTCCAATCAGTAGTCGTAAAAACCACACACAAAAAACAACAAAATCGAAAACCAATTTCTTACAGTATTGATTAGTTTTAGACTCTTAGACATAATGCAACAATTTGGTCCTATCCCAAACCTTATTCTGTAATACAAAGCAAATATACACAATTTTAGTGTAAGATTATATATTATGTATGTTACCTGTGAAATTACTATCCGTACGCATATATTTCTATATCATGTATAAAATGGTTTGAACTGATCCCGTTTCAGTTCAATCAATAAACCTCAAATGATTTACTTCGCCGACTCAACCGCTTAAATCGGTTTAACAACCTTCCTCATGTGACTTGTCTTCTTTCTTTTCTTTTAATTTTCATATTTTTATCTTTTGAACTTTGAAGCCCTGGTCCCAAAACAAACCCACTATCCCCACCCTCCTCTTCTCGATTAACCCCCACAATAATTAATCCACACACACCTAAACCCTGCCTCCCTTTCTAGGTTTACTTTTACCACGCAGTAAAATTAAAATTTTCCAAGATAATCCCATGAAATCATAGATTTTTTTTTTCCCCAACCAAAGGATCTTATTCATTTACAATTAATAAATTGATAATCAATCAAATTATGGATATATTAAGCTAAAATCCAGTCAGGATAAAGGGAGCTAAGAGCAGCCACCACATGAGCAACTCGAGTAACTTGATTGCGGCAAAATAAGTGAAAAAGTTATACAATTTACCGAATCAAAAGCTTTTGCGACTAAAATTTTCAAGAAGTTATACAAAAGGCAATATATTGTAGATTAAGTTATTTAGATGTTAAGACTCATCAAGAGAAGGTGTTAAGTTGAATCTATCCTGCCATCAAGACCCCATTTTAGGTGGCCTTTCGTACGTATTAAAAATAAATTGTAATGTGTCTGTTAATTCTATTATTGATAAGCTTAGTGGAACTATGTAGTATAATTTGTTAAAATATTTGGATATTATAATCTTTATAGCATTCACAAAATTTGCTCTCATTTTATTTTGTAGATAGACGTGAATGTTACATATGCAAATGCAGGGATGACTTTCTCGACCACTTGTATGAACTAGAACGATAAATCAAAGAGAATGGCAATAAAAGGAAGAAAATAACAAACTATTTGAGTTCCAATAGTCTCTAATATTAACCGACGAGTACATACTTATACGTAGGGGTGAAATTGGAGTGGGTGTGGTTATCCGTCACACGTTTTGTGGGTAACCACACCCGCAAATATAGAATTATACTACCCACAACCCGCCCCACAGTGGGTAGTGATTAACCACTATCCACTGCGGGTTGGTGCGGGTTGGATGTGGATATCCACACAAAAAATTCCTTCTTTTACCCTTTGGACTTGTATATGATAAACCTATCAGTCGAGTGACGACAAAAAAAAAAACATTAAAATTAAAACTAAGTAAAGAAGCCCAAGACATGGAGTGAGCGAGGATCCGGTATTCGGAACCTCCTAAGTATCTAACCTCCCTCTCCTTGGTTCACTTCACTCGCTTACATGTCACTTCACTTTCTTTAGGAAATGCATATTGATAACGAGTATGAGTTGGAGGGAATCTAATATTAATATACAAAGCATTTTTATCAGCGGCATGACTACTTTATTTTTTAATTCGAATTTTTTTAGGGATAAATGGAATTCTCTCTCGAGTTGCGAAATTAGCGTCTTCTTACACACACAAAAAAACCTACATACAAGAAAGTTAATTAAGTGTTAAATAAACTATAAACCACATTTATTGGGCTTGTTTTGTTATAAAATAAACATATATCACGCGGACATTGCTTATTTAATAAAAATATCTCATACGAACACAGTGTATTGATTTGGTTTTGTTTTATAAAATAAGTATATATTTGCTTTTTGAGCCTACTTTAGTTTGTAGCATTCTACTTTTCACATACTTTAATATTACAAAGTATTATTAATAAATAAATAAACTTAGTGTGGTTATTGTGGGTTAATCGCAGTGGATAATGGTTAACCACTAACCACGAAAATCAATATTTTGCTACCCACATCCAACCCAATATCCACAAATTGTGAGTAATGGTTACCACAATATATGCGGTTAGCGTATATTTACCAAAAATAAGATTAAATAAATAGCACCACAAAGTTCCCTCGTTTTTCTGAAACCGAAATGCAGGAGAACTGGAGAAGGAAGAACAACGCAAGAGAGAGACAGAGTGAGAGACAGCTTTCACCAAAATCAAACTCAAAGCACTTTCTTTCCCACTCAGTCTCACACCATCGCCCGCCGCCGTCACCGGAACCCTTGAAAGTCGAAAACCATCTTCTTCATACCCTTTCTTTCTTCACCGCCGCCGCATCCAGTCGTCGGCGTTCAGCTACAGTCCACACAGAGAAAACCTACCGGTTATCTCTGTCATTGAACGCCAATCTGCAGCAATACTCTTCTGCATCCGCATGAAATAGTGTTGCCTTCCTTCAGAAACCCAAAAAAGAAAAAGAAAAAACAGAGTAACATGCCTCTTTCTTCCACTTCCATTCCCCATTGCTACGAGCTGTCGACCACATGAACCACCGACGACTGCTGCACAAAAACAATCCCAAAAGATCTCTTCTTTACTCTTCTTTCTAGTGTAGAACTCAAGTTATCCTTCCTTTCCCACATGATTCTTTTTCAAATCATGTATTCTGTCCCCTAGAAAGAAAGAAAGAAAAAACTTCCCTTTTCCTCCTCCGCCGGCCGTCGTCCACCGTCGCCGGAGCCTCCCCACGAGTTTTCGTTGCCCACCCACAAAAGAAGAGCAGAAACCCCATAAATGGAGATACCCAAAACGACCCACTCTGTTTTCCTCTGTTTTTCATCTCTGCTTTTATTCTTACTTACCGCCATGGATAAACCCCTCTCAGTCTCCTCTCTCTCTCCCGACGGTGAAGCCCTCCTCCCACTCCTCTCCGCCGGAGAGTCATCACCATCATCACCACTCCTCTCTTCATGGAACCCATCTCACCAAACCCCATGTTCATGGCCAGGGATAACATGCTCATCACAGAACAGAGTAATCTCTCTGTCTCTCCCAAACACATTCCTAAACCTCACTTCAATACCGCCAAGCCTCTCTTCCTTGACATTTCTCCAGCTCCTAAATCTCTCCTCCACAAACATCTCCGGTGAAATCCCTCCTTCATTAGGCCAGCTATCCAATCTCCGGCTACTCGACCTATCGTCCAACTCCCTCTTCGGCTCCATCCCTCGGGACCTCGGTCGCCTCTCTTCGCTCCAATTCCTCTACCTAAACTCCAACAGACTCACCGGCAAAATCCCACCGGAGCTCGCCAATCTCACTTCTCTGGAAGTCCTCTGCCTCCAGGACAACCAGCTCAACAGTTCAATCCCGGCTCAACTCGGCTCGTTGGTTTCACTACAGCAGTTTAGAGTTGGGGGAAACCCTTATTTGACCGGAGAAATCCCGCCGCAGCTCGGGATGCTGACGAATTTGACCACATTCGGCGGTGCAGCCACTGCACTCTCCGGCGGGATTCCTTCCACATTTGGGAACCTGGTCAACCTCCAGACTCTGGCTCTTTACGACACTGAGATAGCTGGCTCGATACCAGGTGAGCTTGGCTCCTGCTTGGAGCTCAGGAACTTGTATCTCCACATGAACAAGCTGACAGGTTCAATCCCGAGTCAGTTGGGTCAATTGCAGAAGCTAACCAGCTTGCTGCTGTGGGGAAATGGCTTAACCGGTTCAATCCCTGCTGCGCTTTCGAATTGCTCTTCGCTCGTGGTGCTTGATGCTTCCGAAAATGATCTCTCCGGCAGTATTCCTGGAGATTTAGGGAAATTGGCAGTGTTGGAGCAGCTGCATTTGTCAGATAATGCGTTAACCGGTTTGATTCCAAGCCAGTTGAGCAACTGTACGAGCTTAACCGCACTCCAGCTAGATAAAAACCAGGTTTCCGGCTCGATTCCTGATGAAATCGGGAACATGAAGCTCCTGCAGAGCTTGTTTCTATGGGGGAACTCAGTTTCAGGCACGATACCATCATCCTTTGCAAACTGCACTGAGCTCTACGCCCTTGATTTGTCGCGAAACAAGCTGACCGGTTCGATCCCGGATGAGCTCTTCAGTTTGAGGAAGCTGAGCAAGCTGCTACTACTGGGGAACTCACTATCAGGAGAGCTTTCTGAATCAGTGGGCAACTGTGAGTCCTTAATGAGACTAAGGCTCGGAGAAAATCAGCTCTCGGGGCGAATTCCTAAGGAAATTGGTCAGTTACAGAATCTTGTCTTCCTAGACTTGTACATGAATCATTTCTCAGGCCAAATCCCTCCGGAACTCGCCAACATTACAGCTCTGGAGCTGCTAGACTTGCACAACAACTACATTACTGGTTCCATACCTTCTCAATTGGGCAAGCTGGTGAACTTGGAGCAGCTCGATCTTAGTCGAAACAGATTCATTGGAGAAATCCCTTGGAGCTTTGGTAACTTCACTTACCTGAACAAGCTGATCCTGAACAACAATCTGATCACCGGTTCCATCCCTCGGTCGATTCAAAGCTTGCAGAAGCTCACATTGCTCGACCTCAGCTACAACTCTCTCTCGGGGGAACTCCCTTGGGAGCTAGGCCACGTCACTAGTTTGACCATAAGCCTCGACCTGAGCAACAATGCGTTTTCAGGAGAACTCCCCGAGTCAATGTCTGGTTTGACTCAACTGCAATCTCTTGATCTTTCCCACAACATGCTCTATGGGAAGATTAAGGTTCTTGAGTTGTTGACTAGTCTTGCTTCATTGAACATTTCCTGCAACAACTTCTCAGGTCCTATTCCTGTAACAGCATTCTTCAGAACTTTGAATTCAAACTCTTATTTACAAAATCCAAATCTTTGTGAGTCAGTAGATGGGATGATTTGCTCGTCGAGGGTAGCTCAAGCGAGGGGATTGAAATCAGGGAATGCAATTGCCTTGGTATCAGTCATTCTGGCATCAGTAACACTAGCATTGTTGTCCTCATGGATTATAGTTACAAGAAACCATAAGTACATTGCTGAGAAAGCTTTAGGAGGCTCTTCCTTGGAGGGCGAGGATTTTTCATACCCTTGGACCTTCATTCCATTTCAGAAGTTGAATTTCTCGATAGACAACATCCTAGAGTGCTTGAAAGATGAGAACATAATCGGGAAAGGCTGCTCGGGAGTTGTGTACAAGGCCGAGATGCCTGGAGGCGAGTTGATTGCAGTAAAGAAACTATGGAAGACTAAGGGTAATGAAGTTAACATCATTGACTCATTCGCTGCAGAGATTCAGATTCTGGGCCACATTCGACATAGGAACATTGTGAAGCTATTGGGGTACTGCTCGAACAAGAGTGTGAAGCTGTTGTTGTATAACTACGTACCGAATGGCAATCTACAGCAGTTGTTGCAGGAGAATAGAGGGTTGGATTGGGAGACACGGTACAAGATTGCTGTGGGTTCAGCTCAGGGTTTGGCTTATCTTCATCATGATTGTGTCCCTGCTATACTCCATCGAGACGTGAAGTGTAATAACATACTGCTTGATTCAAGGTTCGAGGCGTATCTGGCTGATTTCGGGCTTGCTAAGCTGATGATGAGCACCCCGACAAATTATCACCATGCCATGTCTCGTGTTGCTGGTTCTTATGGATACATAGCTCCAGGTAAACTTGTCTGTTTTAAACTTTTTTCTTCATATCAGGTTTGATTTAAAGTTGGTCAGTGTTAAAGTTCATAGCTTTGGACTTTAGGTGGACTTGTTGTGATGCCTCATGAACAATCTGCGAAGTTGTCTTAACAATTTAGCCTTCTTTATTGTCAAAGATTCAAACTTCGACTTCGGTTGACTTGTGGTGATGATGATGATGAATGAATGTGGGAAGGTGCCTTAACCGATTACCTTTCCACATTCCATCACTTTTAGCCTTCATCAATGTCAAAGATTCAAACTTTGGCTTCAGTTACCTTGTCAATAACAATGTGGGAAGCTATCTTCCTAACCATTTCATTACTCTTAACCTTAATTAGAGTTAAAAGTTAAACTTCAACTTCAGTTTCTTTGTCGTCCCGATGATTAACAATGTGGGAAGCTGTGTTAAGTTTTAACCATTTGCATTTCGACATTCATTTACGTTTGAGCTCTTCATCAATGTTAAAGATTCAAACTTTGACTCACTTTGCAGAGTATGGCTACACCATGAACATCACCGAGAAGAGCGATGTCTACAGCTACGGAGTCGTGTTGTTGGAGATCCTGAGCGGGAGGAGTGCTGTGGAACCACAGATTGGCGACGGGCTCCACATAGTCGAGTGGGTGAGGAAGAAGATGGGGAGCTTCGAGCCAGCCACGTCGATACTCGACTCGAAGCTCCAAGGAATGCCGGACCAGATCGTGCAGGAGATGCTTCAGACGCTTGGCATCGCCATATTCTGCGTGAACTCTTCGCCCGCAGAGAGGCCGACGATGAAGGAAGTGGTGGCATTGCTGAATGAGGTGAAGTGTCCACCCGAGGAGTGGGGGAAGAGCACTTCTCAGCCCTTGATGAAACAGTCTGCAACACAGAGCTGAGAGAATAGGCTTTTTGGTGGCTTAGTTAGAACATTTTAGGGAATTGTTTTGCAGGTGATCTTTAGAAGGATTTGGGATCTGTTGTTTAGGTTGGGGCTTCATGGTGTACAGTTTTAGAGATATAGATTGTGTTCTGTTCCTCTCTTGTTTCAACAGGTTATGGAAATAATGGAAGTAAGAACATTTCAGATTGGAATTCCTCATTGCAGTGCTATTTCATCTCATTTCTAGTTGTTTGAAATTTAGGGGGTACTATCTAACAACCATAACGTAGTATAGGTACTAACTTGTCAACTTATCACATTGGTTCCATAGTTTGGGAGGTAGAAGCCATATTGAATCCTTCATTTCATGAACTCTTCATGGATAGATGTCTTCTAAGTAGTAATCTAATGTTTGTAAACTCATTGCATTCGTTATATATCTAGCTTAATCCCTTGAAAACGATACACCATCAATCATTAACGTTCGGGTTTATTAACAAGTTGCGTCATTATTAACTATCATATTGATGATTTCATCTATCTTCATCTATTTACCATTCAAATTAATCACCTCGTCTTCTTCATCTTATTAATATGATATACTTTCAGAAACGCTAGTCTAAAATGTTTCCCATGCAAACTAAGACGAAATGAAACATAAGAAGCTTGAGAAACATGTGGGATGCTTCATGTTTGCCCTATTGTTTGGTAGCTATAATTAAAGGCCACTGACAACAAACTTGTATTGTATATTTGTATATGAGATCTTCACTCCAATCCACCTAGTCTTCTACTCTTCTTCAATGTTGTCCAATCCATAAAGAAAAAACCACAAACTTTCGAGAGAGTGGAAAACAAGAGAGGAGTCAAACTTTGTTCAAGTAGTGGAAAGTATAGAAGAGAATGGGTGGTGATGGTGATGATGGGTTTCTTGAGTTTTGGATATAAAGCAAGAAAAACCCATACTACATAGGTGATGACATAGGGTTTCATGTGATTTTGCTTGGAAGCTACTTCATTAACAAGGCAAGAAGCCACATCTTCATTGGACGATTCCAAAAGGTGCAAATTGACCCTTTTTTACTTTCAATAGACACCACAATCGAGTTCCATTTGCTCAAGTTCCTGTCTCTTCCTACTCCATCTGTGGCTTCCCCATCTCCACATTGCACCACTAGTTGATCCCTATCAGATGCGTAGCTCGATCGGATTCGAAAAGACCATCTGTATAGGGTATATCAAAACAAGATACATTCATTTCTCGAGTGAAGCAAGAAAACTGCCTCTGTTTTCAATAGATACAAATGGGAATACTTCTTCACGTGGTTACAGAACTTGCCATTCTCTATCAAAACATCACAGCAGTAACAACATAAAACATAAAACAGTGATCTTTGTAACTCTAAAAGCTACTTAATCTGATATTCGAGGAAACCATCAACCGAGACTTGATGATTCCCTCTTGTTAGACGAAGACGACCTGCCTCTCAAGGCTGCAACACTAAGTTTTGGACCTCCTGGTTGAATCGCAGTTGGACTTCGTTTCTTTCCCATTTGTTTCTTGGGACTTGAAGAAGACTTGAATGCCTTTGAAGAATTCGCGGTCTTTGAAGGCTTCTCGTTCTTTGAAGGCTTCTCGATCTTCGAGAACTTCAATGTTTTTCCAACCTTCACAACTCTCCTAGATGGTGTTGCGGGAGAGGGCTTTCGTCCAGAGCTTCTTGTAGAACCCTGGACCTTGGTCGAGCTGTTAGATTTAACGCCAAGAGGTTTAGTCTTGCTACTCTGGCTGGATGATTTCGACAGTCTTACATTCTTCCCTTTCTGTTCAGTAATACGAGCCCGGGCTTTGTCTCTTCGAACGCCATCCATAGTGAGGGACTCCAAGCTCTCGTTCTTTCTTATAGCCTCCTCGATCTTTGTGGCTAGTGGTACGTCCTTTTTAGTGATCAAGCTCGTTACTTTACCTGAAGAGAGAGTATATGAAAGGCACAATCTGAATATTAGAGTGGAGCAAGAGTGATGTTATAGAAGTGTAAGATATTGTATAATCAATCATTACCTTTTGCACCCATTCGAGCAGTTCTTCCAGTCCTATGAAGGTAATCAACCTACAACATCAAAAGCAAGAAGGAAAAGGTCAAGAGATAGCCCTTTTTATCTCTAGTGCTCATCCCTCTCCCTCTTTCCCTCTTATGTCATTCATTTCCTTCCCTCCTCTGCTATTGATTCAGTGCTTTACAGACACAACGCATTTCTTGACGCCACTAAAGAAACTCTTTCAGTTGTGAGCAGATCTTACACCAAATTAATGGTTGAGGGACCAAGAAGAATTACCACAATATTTGATAGTTGCCAACAAGGACTAGATACTCAAATTTCAACGAGGACTGTAGTTGATTTTTTACAATTTGTTACTAATGTTTGAAATAACTAACATAATAGTCACCCAGATAATCACTGTTAGGTTTATTTTAAAAATTAGCCCAACTCATACAAATTAACAATGGAGGGGCCACATAGCTAAGTAGCTTAGATGAGCGGCCATACTTGATCCAAACCAAAACCATTGCTCAATCCAATTCCAATTCAGTTAACGTTACACAACCCTAATCCAAGTCATTGATGTGTAATTGACACAGAAAACACTGTAGAATACTACTAGAATAACAATGAAAAAAGAGAAGTCACCTACAGAGTTCGAGGGAAAATCAAACATTATCACATGGTCTACATCCAAGTCTAGCCCTCTAGCAGCCAAGTCCGTACAAACCAATGTGGGGCAATCTCCATCGTCGCTTTTGAATTTGTTCAGATTCTGAACCCTGTGTTTAAAGAATAACAGGGATTACGCATCAGTTTGATGCTACGAATTCTTAGCAATTATCAAATTATCATTGCTATGAATAGTGTCACCTCTCCTCTGCCGGGACCTCTCCATGGTAATTAACAGTAGCCATCTGATTCTCAGAAAGAAAATGGTCCACAGCACGGCTAGAATTCAGGGTATTACAGAAGACCATCACCCTGTTCCCCTTGGCCAAACTTGGCTCAAGAACCTGCATTTCATACCGGTTCTTTCAGTGACTTTCACTTACATTTTAAAAAATAAGCATAACTAGTTAATTTCCCCCCGTTACCTGTAGCAATGCTTCGAGCTTATTTTCAGAGCCAGAGAGTTTTATGAAATCATGGCGAGCAGATGCAACCTTTCGATGCAGTGTCGATGTGCGTAAATGCACTATGCCCTGGAACTCCTCATCGACTAGCATTTGAACTCCCTGTGAAATCTCTATACGGTCAATACTGCGAATTACCTCATATGCGAACGCAGTTCCATTATATCCCACCAAACAGACAAGAGAACCACAATCAATAACACTGCCAGTCCCAATAAAGTTCAACTCATGAAAATGTAATTTGGACAAACTATTAGCATGAATCCATCTCATGTTCAAGCTTGATAAAGGCGCAACCTTTGGCAAATTTACATGGAGATGTGAAAAGAATTGTTTCAGTCACCTACAAGAGCTGGGGTAAAATTTATCCCAAATGAGCTACCTATCCGGCTATCCCTTTGTTTTGGGTTGGGAAAGCAGTTGCGGAGAGCACAGAAACATTCAGACTTCAAAGGTAACAAACATGAAGGTGTAGGTGGAGACATGTCCAACTAAGAACCAAGAGAACAGAGAAGAAATTTCTAACTTCTACTTAGTAACTTGAGAAGCATTCTTGAACTCCTCAACATAACCAAATGATTATCTCAGATAAAAAAGAAAACTTTGAACTCCAACACAATGTACCTTTGTCATTGTTGCAGCAACCAAAACAGTTTGAAACCCTTGCCCGTCAGCCTTTGATGCACGATTTTTCAGCGGAGCAAGAAACTTACGAATATCAGGACCAAACCCACGATCAAACATAGTATCTGCCTCATCCAAAACCTACTAGAGAACAGGAAAATCACTACAGGCTCTCGCAGATAGTTGTATGAAGATGAAGCCAATCAAAAGTTTCTAGACACTCACCACATACTTCACATCTCCATACACAATATTGCCTTCCTCAATGTGTTGAAGAATCCTACCGGGAGTCCCAACTACCATATCAACAGCGTTATTAAGTGAGTCTTCCTGCGGTCTCAACCTTCCACCACCACTAACCATGATAGACCGGAACCGAGCGTGATGGCTAATCGACTTGGCAACATGGAAGACCTATGGATGGTAGTATGTATGATCATCAAAATGAACAAGGCCACAGGAAAAACTAACCAATTCAGTCGAAGAAAGAAAGATCAAAACCTGCTCAGAAAGCTCCCTAGTGGGGCATAGAACAACAGCTCGAGGACGCTTTGGCTTCATCATTCTACCTGATAATGCCTCATCCTGTCTTATCAACTGTATAACACCAACAGAAATTGAACTCAATCCACTAGGCAGAAATCCATCGTACAAAATAACTCGAATTTCCCTATAAAAAACTGACCTGGACAATGGGCAGTAGATAAGAGAGAGTCTTTCCAGAACCAGTATGAGAACCCAAAACCACACTCTGGCCTTCCAAGACAGCAGGAATCCCAAGGCACTGAATCTCGGTGGGAACTTCAATTGACATCTCTTTGAGGGCGGCCATCACCTCTTCGCTCAAACCTAGCTCCTCAAAACTCCCCACCATAAACGTCTTCCCTTTCTTCTTCCTATCAGACCCATTCCATTCCTCGCCCTCGACAGCAGCTGCGGCAGCGGAAGAAGAATGTCGGGAATTGGATTTGGAGGGTTCCTTGAGGTGTCTAGACCTAAGCCTCTCCAAGAGAATAGCGTGCTTTGCCTGTTCCGGGTCGGTGATTTCGGTGGCGGGCGCTGCTTCTGTGGCGGTGGTGGCTGATGCTGTGCAGATGGGTTTGAAGTTAAACCCTAGCAAAACCCTGCTGGGTTTAGGCAACCGAAGAAATGGGCGGTGGCGGGGGAAGTGGGTGAGTTTGGCTGCGGTGGAGTGGGAGAGTGAAAGGAGTAGAGTTCTAGAGGCGGCTGCCGCCATTGTCATTGTTGAATGCTCGTTTGGGCGCGGGGCTTTCTGGCTTTTTGCCGGGGAAGATTTTATTTGCTCGTTGCAGTGGGAAGGAAGGGAAAATAAACGGATTGGGAATGAGCACCAAGCGAGGCAGCAGCGAGCGGCTTCACCTTCGGTTAAATTACCAATTGGTCACCGAACTAACTTATATCAATCACATTGAGCACTGAGCGTAGTAGTGACTAGGGTTGTCAACCTATTCGTGAGTTGCTCGGTTTTTAATTCGGTAAGAGCTCGTTTGATTGAAATAAAGTTCGGCTCGTTAACAAAAAAGGTTCGGCTCGTGAGGCTTGTGAACTAGTTTGATTAGGCGTCTTGTTGAGTACAACTCAAGAACTGTCTCCTTTTGAGCTTATGAGATGTCTCAACATTGTGACTAGCAAGCAAATCGACTAGAACTTATGAAAAAATCGATCTATATTTTATGAGTTGGTTTGTTAATGATGCATAGAATTATTACATTGTATATATCACCTCATGTCGCGGTTAATAAATGAGTATATGTGAGCAAATACGTCTCATACATGAAATATCAGGTTATTACAGCCAAACTTTCGATCTTAATGATGAGTAAAGATTTGATAAATGAGTTGGCTCGTGTTCGACTCGACTCAACTAGGTTATAAACGAGCCAAACTCGAGTTCGACTCATTTATAAACGAACCAAACATGAACAAGGCAAAACTCAGTTCGACTCGACTCATTAACAACCCTATTAGCGACTACTGAGACCACAAGAGCACATAACTCTCTCTAGCCTCTAGGAAGTAGCTTGGCACTCCATAGTCAAATTAGACATGACAAATTGAGAATTTCCACCTGATCCGTCCGAAATTATTTGTGAGCTGGAAGGGACGAGTATTAATCTTAGTTTCGACTTGATTTGTGCCGATCCACTTTATTTTCAATCTGTGTTGTTTAAGTTACTGAACTTCTATTTAACGTCCTATATTGAGGATATACAAGTATTACGGAAACCAATCAATAAATCCACTCATCCAATTAGATTTGAATTTAAAATGATTTGGATTAGTTGAAGGTTTTGGTGAATGGAATGAATAGGTGGATTGGACTCAAATTGCCACCTCTACTCCTAAGAGATTTTCTATTTAATATTGTCATATATTGTAGATCATAACTAGGGATGTGTAGTGGTTTGGTCCATTCCACGCAGCTCAAACCAAATATAATGTGATCTTGTCATTGATCTCATGAATTTTATAAATACTAAATAAATGGACCAAAGTGAAATTTAAACCAAACTAAATCATACCAAACATAATGATGGTTTAATCCTTCACTATAAAATATATTTTACTATCAGATCACGATTCTCATGAGTATGATCCTGACATACCCTATTCGCGATTCTCATTAGTTTGATCCGAACATACCCCTAATTGTCCCGATGAAAATGTTAACACACAAAGCGATGCAACAATTTCTAACAGCATAATCACACCAAGGGTCTTGGGGCAATGTGGAAGTAGAGCTAGCATTTGAAGTTTAGGTCAAGATACAAGCGAAGCAGCCAAATTGTTCACATGAATACTTCTCACAGCCAAATCAATGGTCTCAAATCTCTCCAAGTAGCAAAAATCATCATAACTGATCATAATTATATCTCCACAGAATTTCTGAAGGCAGATTGTGTCCATCAATCAAATTTTGCTCAATAACTAGGAGCTGCTTGTTGCTTTGAGAGCAAACTAAGAATCTAAAAGCTACCACCCCTGAGAGCAAGCACAAGATGAAGCACTGAGCCACCTTCAATGTTGTACTCTTTGGCTGTCTTGTCATCTGCAAGCTGCTTCCCCGCATAGATGAGCCTGAAATACGCAGAGCACGAAAAAAACCACGTTAAGTTTGCCCTAAGAAGACACGATCATAAGGAATGAATGGAAACAATGGTGGTGGTGCTGCTGCTAGTGAGCAAGAGTGTCATTTCAGGCATGGAAAGTAAAGAGAACTGCAGACTAGTGATTGATTTTTTACCTCTGCTGAATTGGGGGAATTCCTTCCTTCTCTTCAACCCTTTCCTTGATCCTATCAATAGTATCGGTAGGTTCGATGTCGATCTCGATCTCTTTCCCTGTCAGGGTTTTCACCTTGATCATAGTTCCTCCCCTGAGCCTGAGCACCAGGTGAAGAGTTGACTCCTTCTGAATGTTGTAGTCTGCAAGGGTTCTTCCATCCTCCAATTGCTTCCCAGCAAAAATCAGCCTCTGCTGATCTGGTGGAATCCCTTCCTTGTCCTGACAATTCAGTACCCACAACAAAAAGAATGGAGCTTTTCAGCTTGGGCAACACAAACTAAACAGTCCAAAAGCAGGAAAAACAAACAATGAAAGCGCCAAACAGCTCGTTAACCCAGGCAGAGACCAGGCAAAAAAAACACTATTCACGGCCAGGAAAGCCAAACCCTAACTTTCCAATCAATTAACAAAGCAAAGGCGCAAGCTTTCATCAAGTTCAATCAGAGAAGACACAATATCTACCAGAGATTCGACAACAATTCAAGATAAGAAACAAAACCCACGAAGCAATCGCCGGAGAAGGGCGGAATAACGAAGAACAGACAGCGTAATCAGTAAAAAAAAAAAAAAAAAACTAAGGGGAGACCTGAATCTTAGCCTTGACATTGTCGATGGTGTCGCTGCTCTCGACTTCGAGAGTGATGGTCTTGCCGGTCAAGGTCTTGACGAAGATCTGCATCTTCTCTCTTCTCCTTCTCCTTCTCCTAGCTAGCTACTGGGGTTGTTTCGACTTTCGAGAGAGCAGAGACAGAGAGAGCTTCGATCACTGATCGGGGAATTTCGATTTTGTGTGAGTGGATCGAAATATATATAGAGAGAGTCAGTGAGACGCGAAAGGCAGCTCCACGGCGGGGAGCTGAGTGAGGGAGGCGGTGGGATTTTTGTTCGCGTAACACTTAAGAGAATCTTTGTTTATGAATTTCTATTTTTTTTTTATCGTGAAACCAATAATCAGAGCATAGTATACTCGTTTGATGCGGTCCAGTCCAAGTATCGATTTGGTCCGGTACGATCCTGTACGGACTAAATCGTTGCACACTTCTAAAATTCCCAGTCTATAAAATGAAGAAAAAGAAGAGCTAGTCACAAAGACTTAACCATGAAGAGATGCGGATGAATTAGCTCCAGGGGCGTAGCTAGAGCATACTAAGGGAGTTCCATAACACCTCCTTAGATTTGAAAATGTCAAAATATTAGTAGTATTAGGAAGTGAATAATGATATTTAAATGCTAAATTTCTATGTCAATCGTCAAAGCTAGTGAACTAATATTGCGAATAGTTATTTGGTGGGATACATTAAGTGTGAAATCTTGATAGTTTGGATGATTCATATAGTTATACAATAATTTCACAATACCAAATATGAGACCGCATATGTAATTTTTTTACGGCACCCCTTAAATAAAATTCTGGCTACGCCACTGATTAGCTCTGACGCCTAGCCCACCTGACACGGTCATCCGAGGTGAATAAGAATTGGGGATCGGATGCGGACGAAATTCCCACCAATGGCCGAGTCCCTAAGGATGCATCAACTTTAATCTTCACGCATCCTCTTCTTGACGTGGTGACCAAGAAGCACTCCTATTATTAATTTGTGTATAATTCGTGTGCAAAGATTTGTCCATATTTGATTTTTTTTTATAAATGGATGCATTTAATCAATTTATGTATTTTAATTAGATGCGTGTTTTAATATATGAATTTTAAAAATTATATTGTTTGGAATTTGAATAATTTTGGTGATCTCTTAAAAAAAAGAAAGAAAAAAAAATGAATTTCCAATCCCTCAAAACAAACCCAGCTTTTAGCTGAAATTGACAATCATCCATAATTACTAATTTTAATAGTCTCATCTACTACTCAAATACAAATATTGTGTTTTATTTTAAACCAAAAAACGGTAAATTCTCATTATCACATGTACTATAATGCCTAATGGATAATTATCATTTTGGGGAGTATACTGATAAAATTAGTAATGCAATATGTTACTACAATATCTTACTTGTTTTTAAGTTTCGTATAGTGTGATATATGTAATATTCGTTGTATTATATTATCGAAGAAAACATTTTGTTCTCGTGTAGTAGATTGTATTTTCATTCATCCGATCCAAATCGTGACAAAAAAATGTAGGATCTTGAAATTTATGAATGGGTTTGGGTTTACCATCATTCAACCCATCGACGGATTCAGCATAGGGTAGAGCACTGGGCCACATTTGAAAAAAAAGCGGGGAGGGCCACGTTTTTTGGCTCCTTCCTAGTCGGGAAGTTCGGGCCATATCCCGAGAAACACTGAAACTAACACCTAAAATCGAATTTTCACAAGTGTCTATACTAGCTCTCGATGCAGAAGAGGGCTTGGCCGTGGCCCGGATGCGGCCCCCTGAATCCGCTGCTGAGTCAACTCGAGACTCATGAGTTGGGTGGTTAAACGATTAAAACCGACCAAATCGACCCATGTACACCCCAGTTTTGGCCAGTAATTTGGGTCGGGTCGCTATTTCATTTGTACCGGACGTAGCATACCGAGAGAGGAACTGAAATAAACTCCACCGACCAGGCGACCACCGCCATTTTCTCAATGCGAAACCCTCTCCGACGATTGGAAATCCTCGCCGTTCTGATTGGGGGAAGAGTAGCTGGAGTAGAATCCGCCGTTTCCGAACGAATCTTCACCTTTGGATATTGGTGGAATAGTCAACTCCGGCGGCAGTGAAAAGTAAGCCTGGACGGTGTGGCGAAACCGAGAATGTGCAGCTTGATTGCTTGCTCTGTGTTTGGTGATTGTTGTTTAGGGTTTAATAGTTTCGAGTGGAGGTGAGAAGCAGGAGAGGCCTCAACGATCCATACTGTGGCGTTAGCTGCGTCCCCACCACCAGTCTCATTGTCGTCGTCACCTCCGTGTCTAGTTGGAGGACCCATCACCTCCATAACGAAGTAGAAGTGAAGGAATTGTCAGAATTGCTTGCTGGGTTGCGTTGTTTCTGCGAGAATCCGCTTTGCTTAAGGTGGGGGTTCTCATTTCAGTCATTTGGTCTTCAGGGATTGCCGAATGCTTTCAGGGTAGAGAGCTTTGATAAGGAATTGATTTGTAACAAGTTAAGGAAAGACATCAATCATTTAACAGATCAGTTCAAAGTATCTCTTCCGTGGCAGCAAAATCTGGATTGCTTGTTTCTCTGTTTGATTGCCGCTGCCCAACTAGTGAGCTAGGGGATAAGGAATGTTTATTAATTTTGTTTGCTGTACCAAGTGGGTTTGGACTTTGGAGTATACGGATACGCTGGAGACAGGAGAAGATAGGACTCATGGAGCCTGGAGGTTAGAAAATTTTAGTGCTTAGGTGCCAAGAAGAAGATGATAGGTTGAAACGGCAGATTCCTGCTTTGCCGTTCTCTGTCTTTCTGTTTTGTCGTAGTTAGTTGATACTATGTTTAGATGCTAGATGTTTTCCTTTACTAGCCGGTCAGTTTACTAGTTTAGTTAACTTGCCTTCTCATGTGTTGCTTTTTCCCGGCTCTTGATTCGTTTTGGTGGAAATATAGGAATCTTATTAGCGTAGTTGTTTAGTCATATTTGAGCATGCTCAACTGTTTAGTGCTGCTTGCTTTTCCTATGCACATCATCATCTTACCTAACAGTAGGAGATGCATCATCTAATCTAAATGCTCGCTAGGAAGGAGCATTAGTATACTGTAAAGTACTAATTTAGTATAATATATTATAAGGATGCCAGCTCTATTCTTTGAGTCTTTTGTAGGGATGACTGCTGAAGGTGGGGAAGAATCGCGGCACAACCGGACACGCAGAGAGTTGGTATGTCATGCCGGCGCTGGTGCTGCCGCTGGTTAGATTCAATCATGCTTTGCCTTGATTGGAATTCGGTTTCTTGTTTCGCTTAAGTTTCCAAGTTCTTGGAAGCTGAGCAGTCTGGAAAATTTACTTGTTTATGATGACTAGTTCTTTGATAGTATTTGTTTAGTTGATTGGCTGCTTTTAATGGGGAGGGAAGTATTTGAAAAGGCTATGTGCAACTTTGCAGGTGCTATTGCGGCCACGTTTATGTGCCCATTGGATGTGATCAAGACAAGGTTGCAGGTCCATGGGCTGCCTGTATCAGCACATTCTAGTGGCCGAGGTAATGTATAGTGATGGCTGTTTGAACAAAAATAAAGACATAGGACAGCCTAGCACTTTGTATCCTTTCCTTTTTCTTTATGGTGACACTTTTTGTCCTTTCTGGTGGTACCATCGGGCTATCTGTTTGGACAAAGGGATATTATTCTTAACTTATAGTTCTGGCTGGACAAGTCTCTGAAATCAAATAAATTGCACTCTTTACAGTCCTTGGTGTCCTGATCCAACTGTTTCTGATTATATCTGCCTTATATAATGGTGTATGATCAACATCTTTGAACTTGCTTTGATTTCTTTAATTTTCTTTTTTTAAATAGTTGGACGCTGGCTACAACTTTTGAATTTTGGCTGAGTTGGATATTTTTATCCATGATTACCATTTAGCACCTCTTATTTGGCATATCGATGGTTATTCTTAATGCTCTTCATCATCATTCATCCTTAGGTAGTGCTATTGTCACAATCTTACAGAGCATAGTCAAGACTGAAGGTTTTCGGGGGATATATCGTGGACTCTCCCCTACTATATTGGCGATACTTCCTAATTGGGCTGTGAGTATTGTTCCTTTTGTAATATTTGCTGGGTATACCTTTCTTGTTTCTTAGTCTAAGAAATATAACCTAATAAATAAAGTTGAACGCTCCTGGGGCATATTGTCCCTTTTCTTTGCCTTCAGTTGATCTATATTGGGGAGAAAGGATATTTAGTCGACGGATTATGATGTAGTGGGATTCAAATTTAACTCTATGATTCACTAAGCTGTTTCACTACGGGGCTGTTCGTGTAAATATCTTTACTAGCTGGTACTGGTACTTATTTAAATCTAAGTGAACTATGATCGGATGGGATTCACTTTTGACTCTGTTGGCTTTTGCAAGAGAAACCATAAAAAATATGTTGCTAAAGCTGGTTCATATCCTGATTTCTTCAAACATACTTAATGTCTTTTGTTGACACACTTGGTGGTAGCTGTTACAGGGTATGTACAGATATGCAATTTAAGCTTTCTTTTAGTCACGGTTGCTGTTTGTTTTGTAGGTGTATTTCACAGTATATGAAAAATTGAAAGGCTTGCTTCTTACAAATGGTTGGTTTTGGTGCCTCTTGATTGAGTCTTTTAACTTTCTAATCAAACCATTTTATGGTCTTGAGTCTTGACATTTCCTGAATCCTGATTACTCTGGCTCTCTTTTGATTTTGTTCTTATGGCAGGGGATGAAAGTGGCCAATTAACGGTTGGTCGAAACATGATTGCTGCTGCTGGGGCTGGTGCTGCCACATCCATCGCAACAAATCCATTGTGGGTTGTCAAAACTAGGCTCCAAGTAAGTTTCCGCATGGTTATGCATCTTTCTAGCTTTTAATAGCTGAAGCAGACTCTGTTATTGGCGTTTATTCCAACTTTCATTTATGAGCAACATCTTCCACTGAGAGAAATTTGCACTCAAGTTTATCTGCACATTTAGAATGTCATTATCACTATATGCTGACAAGTTCACGTTGCTTTATTCTTCTTGTCTTGAAATAATCTCTTCCAAGTCAGAAAATTTTGAGGGTAACTCTTGCAGTGCCAATCTAGCATAGAGTTTGAACCTTGAGAACAAGTTTGCTGCCAATGGCAGAAGCAGAACCGTATCTTCAGTTGATCTCATCCCTTTTCCCATTCCCTGTGTCCCCAATATGAACCCCTTTGGCTAGAGATGCTCAAGTACCTTTTATAGTCCAGGCTTTCTTCTAAGTTGCTGGGAAATGAAAGCAAAGTGATAGTGGAAGCATGCTGATAGTCAAACTTTTGCATTGTGCTTAAGCTAAAGATCCAAGTCCTGCAATGTTTTGAACATCTTCAACTAGTGCAGTCGTGACGTTGGGGATTTCTT